ACATGAGAAGTGACTCAGTTTTGATTTGTTATTCTAGTTTCTATTTTGTAGTCAGTCAAATACATACTGGGAAAGTGTCTCGAGGGTAGCAAGGGCTGGAGAAGGGTTAGGAATGTACACAGAAAGAGGTTTGTTTGCTCTGGGTTGCCCAGCACTTCTGGGGTAATGCTCAGAATGGAAAGCTGAGATTTTGCCTCATTGAGACTCTGGTGGATGTTTGGAAATAGTTTCCAGTGATTCTTGCAGGGCAGGAACACATAGTCTTTCAGTTATTGTAACAGACAGCAGGTACCAGGTGGCTATTAGAATTTGCACTGCATGGTTCCTTTTCGTTATTAAATGAAAGACCTGCAGGATGTTTTACCCACAAAGCTTCGGCTACAGTGTACAGTATGCTTGTTTGGAGCACCAGGAACGAGGTGATTCTCTGCTATCCACCCTTAAGAGTAGTGGTCCCGGAAGGCAGTTTATGAGACCATGACTTACACATTCACTGCAACCTCATGGGTTGGGTTGCCCTCCTGAGCAGGCCAGGGGAAGGTTAGGGTTAGGTGTCTCCTGCTACATATGCCTTTGATTCTGTGATTTGAATGTGTCACTGAGCATTCACTCAGATAAGCATTTTCCCCATAGTACACAGAGTTGATGGCATGGCTGACCAGGTCACAAACAGATGTTCTCGAACAGCCCGATGGAGGGACAGGCCACCCAGATTGCCTCCCTCTTGGTGGTTCTGCAGAAACATGGAACTAGATATTGACTAAAGTGCGACTTAGCGAGGTGAATCTGTGGATTCCATTTCCTCCTGTAGTTTGTATTTGCTGATTGGCTAACAGGCCTGCTGAAACTTGTCTGCTTTGGTTTTGGAATCTGTTAAAGTATTGACAAAGATGAGAATGATTTATAGTCAAAGTGTTAGCAAACTTCAGTGATACAGATCTATTTTGAAAAACAAAAGTAAAAGGAATATTATAATACCGTTCACTTGTAACCCTACCGACAAGAAAGTGATGTATTCCTTCAATACTTCTCCAGCTTTCTTTTCTTTTTGTAGTACTGGGGATTGAACCCAGGTCCTCACACATGCTAAGCAAGCTCTCTACCACTGAGTTACATCCTCAGCCCTTTTCATTCCTTCCCCACACACCAGGGATTGAACTCAGGACCTTGAGCTTGCGAGGCAGGCAGCAGAACCACTGAATTAAATGCCCGGCTCCCCTTTTCATTTTTGAAACAAGGTCTCATAAAGTTTCCCAGGCTGGCTTTGAACTTTTTATCCTCCTACTGTAGTTTCTTAAGGAGCTAGGATTACAGGCATGTGGTTTTTGCTTTTTAAATTCTGATAAAATACATATAATATACAATTTCCCATCTTAACCATTTTTAAATGTGCAGTTCAGTAGCATTAAGTACATTGATATTGCCATACAACCATTATCTAGGACTTTGCAAAACTGAAACTAAATATTCATTAAACAACAATTCCTCATTCCACTGTCCCTTGTACACCAGCAACTACCCTTCTACTTTCTGTCTCTATGACTTAAAGTAAGTGTCCTGTACATGGGATCATATATCACTTGTCCATCTGTATCTGGCGTATTTCACATAGCATGTTTTCAAGGTTGTACCTATTATAGCATATTCCAGAATTTCCTTTTTAAGACTGAATAATGTTCCAGTGTACATATTGTATGTGCCATATTTTCTCTGTCTGTTTTTCTGCTGATGGCCACTTGGATTCTTTCTACCTTTTGGCTGTTGTGAATAATGCTGCTTATGAAAATGAGCATCAAGTATCTATTTGAGTCCCTTGCTTTCAGTTCTTTTAGGCATATACCGAGAAGTGGGATTGCTAGATCGTATGGTAATTCTATTTTTCATGTTTTGAGGAACCACCATACTGTTTTCCACAGCAGCTCTACCTTCCAGAACTATCAATAGTGCCTAAGGATTTCACTTTCTCCACATACTCAAGAATACTTGAGGTTTTGATAGTAGCTATCTAGTGACTGTGAGGTAATGTATTTGTTAACTGCAAATGATCACATGGCCTGTACAATTTTGCGTCTTGCCTTTTGTTAAATGTATCATTCTATGGTAAGCATTTTCCTCTATAATAGACTGAAAGCCTTTTTCATCTGCCTCCTTTTTAAGTGAAGTTGTTGACATTGATCTTTTTCCTCTGTAGTATGGAAAATAACTTTTCCTATGATTTTAAGCTTAGAAAGCTTTCTATCCAAAGATCAAATGAACATTCACCAAGTTGAATCTATTTTTAAAATGTTTCATTTTACATTTGCATCTAATTCTTTGGCATTTGATTGTACTTTAAAAGCCCTTTAACTGCAAAGTATTAAACAAAATGTTCACAGTGGTTCTGCCTGGGTGGTGAGATTATTCATAATTCTTTTTTCTTCTTTTATATATTGCTTTTATGAGAGAAAGAATAGATGTTATTTAGGCAAAAATTGGCTACCTTCTTCTCTTACCCATGCAACCATAACCCAGATTGGCACTAGGAGAGAAAGAGGCATGAAATGCGGAGAATTTGGCTGAGCCCTTGCTAATTCTCTTTCCTGGACCTCAGTTTCCTCCTAGGTAAAAAGAGAGATGAACTGGAAGGTCTTTTCTGACCTTGAAAGGTTCTGCATCCTGTAAAGACCAAGGACCACTGAAATTTGTTCTGTTGGGCTTGGGCCAAACTTGAGAGGTGGGCGTTCCCTGGCTGATGAACGCATCTGCTACTACCTGATCACTGACCTTGGTTCCAGAGGCTTCCTGAAAATCTCCTCAACCTTTCCCCCAGGTAAGGCCCACCTGGAGGCCTCACCTGGTTGTAGTACATAGGCAAGGCCAGAGTGATAGAGCAGCCCCCTTCATACAGCCTTGGCTCTGTCTGCTTCACGACAGTAGTTACTTGCTCACTATACTTTCTTCAAAGTTTACTTTAAAACAAAACTTAAGACCACTGCAGTAAATACTACAAGTAGAAGGTAATAACAGCAGCAAAACTTATAGCATGAAAACAGAACATTGTGATTAAACACTTGCCAGATAACTGCTACCTCCCAAAGCTCAGAAACTGAGGAGGCCTCTTCACATGTTGTGAAGAAGGGAAGTTACAAGTTCTGGGGAGATGGTGACGCATCCCAGCACTCACCTGAGACATTCTTCACACTCTCAGGACCATGAGAGTTGAAGAAGTCACAAGTGAGTCAGCATCATGTGGTTCTGTGTGTACAGGTAGCACTCAGCTTTGAGGGAACCCCTGGTTCCTGTTCTTCCTTTGAGAAAATACTGGTTTCAACCAAAAACCTGGAAGGGAACTTAAAGGTCATCTTCTCTCCTGTCATTTTGTAGATGGATGAGCTGGGCTAGGTGTAGAAATGGCAGCTCATGCCCTTGACCCAGGGATAGAAAAGTCCATGCTTGACTGTACTTCTACAGTTTCACCACAAGTAGCTGAAACATGGAGATTCCACCAGTGTGGCTGTGGGACATCATGGCTAATTCATAGATAAACCACCTTCGAAGACTGTCTGTTTATCTATTATGTGTATGTATGTGTGTGCATGTGTGTGGTGCTAAGGTTGGAACTTCGGCCCTCATTCTTTCTCCTTCCTGGTTTTATCAGTAACTCCGTTCATCACTCATTCACTCATTGTCTCAATGGCAAATACTTCCTGAGCACCTGCTGTACACAATGGTATGGATTCAGCAGAGAAAAGGCAATGTGCTCATCACTCTCAAAAGCTTACCACAATGACTTCTGACAGACAGCCTAAATAGTATTTGGTAGACCATCACCTACAGGACAGACAGAATGTGACACTGACTCCTAATACTCCTAATACTAACCATGATTATTGGAAAAGGTGGCTGTTCTCGGGTTATGCTTTATATTTCAAATGTCCCTATATCCAGAAAGGATTTTAATAACTAGGATTAAGACCTGCTACTCCCACTTCAAGATTAGTATACAGCTAATATTTTGGCTGTTACCCTCCAAAGTCTGCCAGGGTCCAGTACATGATAGGACCCTGCAACTCTGGTGAGTCAACCTACCCACCAAGCAGGAGGATTGCTGGATCCCAAATGACAGGAGTCAACTAATGTGCATTTTGCAAGAAGGAGGGTCACTAAAGAGGGAAATGTTCTCCATGCTTCCAAGGGAAGCCATATGGTCAAGCAAGACTGTGACCCATCCTGGCTAGTGGCACAACTGGTAGAGGGAAAATCTAGAGGAGTTGGGAGGTTCTTCACATGACATCTGAGAAGCTTTAACTGACCCTGACAAATATAAATACATATATACATTAATTTTGATTAACACAGGTCTTTGACTTGGTTTTAAATATCCAGTAGGAAAGTATAATAAAAAGGAGTAATTAATAGCAATCTAAAAACAGACAAAGTTAGGTTAGATACAAAAAGAGACTCCAAACACTACGCCAGTCCCTACTGCCAGTCTCCAGCTGCATCTGTAACATCTTAACCTACAGCCATAATAGTTCATGATTCCCAGTCCCACTACCTCTTCCAAAAGTGTGTCCTTCAGCCTCTCTTATTTTATTGCCATTATATTATTTCAGTGTACTTTTAGGTACCCTTCAAGTGAAGATTTGGCTTGTATAGATGCACCTATGGGATAAAATGCCAATATAAATATTCTAGCTACTAATGTTTGTTACCTTTGAGGTATGAACTTTCTGTTACTGATTTCAGACTTTATATGTTTACCTTATCTGGTACTGGTCACTACAAAAAGGCCTTCAGGTCTACAAAACAGAGGCCAGATCAGATTCCATGACATATGGAAAAAATTTTAATGGCCCAAAGGTCGCAAAAATGCAGATATCTTAATTTAGTTTTTTCCTTTGCCATTGTTATAATTCAAATAGGAGAGATGGATTTCTTTGACAAAACAGGGAAAAGTCGGTATGCTTTAAAATTTCACCTGTTGCATTTAAATTAACACCTCTTGTTCTCTCTTTCAGATAATCAAAGGATGATGGTTCATCAAACAAAAAACCCATATTTTTATGCCTCTTTTAGATCAGTCAGAGTAAGACTTTTGACCCTTGGGTAGGCAGCCTGAAACAGCCCTAAGATGATGGACCTTCAGCCCCTTCTGCATCCTTAAGAATAAAGGATCAAAGCAGGAGGAGGCGGGAAGAGGTAGGATAGAAGAAATAAAAGATGGTGGAGGGCCAGAGATTTAGCTCAGTCATGCTGCCCCCTGCCTCACAAGTGCAAGGTCCTGAGTTCGATCCCTGGTACCAAAAAAAAAAAGATAAAGATGGTTGAAAGGAGATAAGGACTATCATAATTTATAAATTGTACATTAAGACTGCAACTTCAGGATGCAGAAACAACGCCAGACACACTCAGCCTTCTATCTTTGATAAAGGAGCCAAACACCCTCACTGGATGAAAGATAGCCTCTTTAATAAATAGTGCTGGAAAAATTGGGTTTCAACTTACCAAAGATTAAAACTAGACCTATATCTCTCGCCATGCACTAAACTAAAAAAGAAATGGATTAAAAAATCTAAATATTAAAATAGAAATGGTGAACCAGTTGGAACAGAGGTTAGGTAGAACTCTTGAAGACATCGGTGTAGGAAAAGTTTTTATGAACAAAACCTCAGATGTCCATGAACTAGCACAAACAATCAACAAGTGGGATCTCTTCTTATTAAAAAGCTTCTGCACAGCAAGAGAAACCACCAGCAGTGTGAAGAGACAACCCACAATGTGGGAAAAAATCTTCACCTGCTTTTCCTCAGACAAAGGTCTACTATCTCAAATCTGTACAGAACTTAAACAAATCAGACCTCCCAAATTTAAAGACCCAATCCAAAAATGGGCATCTGAAATGAACAGACATTTCTCAGACAAACAAGTAGAAATAGCAAAAAAAATGTTCAACATCACTGGTCATTTGAGAGATGCAAATGAAAACAACGCTGAGATTCCACCTCACTCCAGAAAGAATGGCTGCTATCATGAAATCAACCAATAGCAAATGCTGGCGGGGCTGTGGGGAAAGAGGAACCCTGCTCCACTGCTGGTGGGAGTGTAGACTGGTGCAAGCACTGTGGAAATCAGTATGGAGAGACCTGAAAGACCTAGGACTTGAAGTCCCATTTGACCCAGCTATTCCACTGCTGGGGATCTTCCCCAAAGAATTAAAAGAATCATACCACAGTGATATATGTGCACCCATATTCATAGCAGCACAGTTTATGATAGCTAAAACTTGGAAACAGCCCAGTTGCCCATCAACTGGAGACCAGATAAAGAAAATGTGGGTTTTAAAATAAAATGGAGCACTACTCAGCCATAAAAAATGAGAAATTAGAGACATTTATAGCTAAGTGGATGCACATTGAGGTGATACTCTTAAGTGAAATAAATAGGACACACATGTATAAATACCGTATAGTTTCTCTGGTGTGAGAAACTGAAAATGTAAATAAAGACTAAAAGTTATAATAGGTAATGTGAAATAGGAAGAAAAGGGGCAAAGGGGAAGGAAGTGGGAGGGGTAGGGGAAAGGAAAGAAGGGAATGGAATTAATATGAGAAAATGGAAAAATAGGAAGAAAATCTTTGTAAATAGGGAGGACTGGAGGGGTTGAAGGGAGGGCTGGGCAAGGGTGAAAATAAGAACCAAACCGGGGATTTAGCTCAGTGGTTCTGGCACCTGCCTCACAAGTGCAAGGTCCCGAGTTCGATCCCCGGTACGAAAAAAAAAAGAAAAAAGAAAAATAAGAACCAAGAGAGATTATGTAAAGGTGCAATGACGAATGTCATTATATTGTATACCTAAAATGTACCAATGATTAGAATGAATAATCAATAATGCACATAGGAAGAAAAGGTCCAGAGGGGTAGGGGTAGTGGGAGGGGCAGGGGAAAGGAAAGAAGGGAAAGGAAAAATGATGAGAAATGAAAAAAATGGAAATAAAGTCTTTGTAAATAGGGAAGGGTGGAGGGGTTGAAGGGAGGGCTAGGAATGGGGAAAGAATAAGAACCAAGATGCATCATGTAAAGGTACAATTCCCAATGAGAAATGTAATTGTGTTGTATACCTAAAATGTACCAATAAAAAGAATTTAAGAAAAACAAAAAACAAAAAAAGAATTTCATAAAAATATATATTTCGGGGGCCGGGGATTTGGGTCAGTGGTTTCGCCGCCTGCTACGCAAGCGCAAGGACCCAAGTTCGATCCCCGGTACCAAAAAAAGGGCCCTTTTTGTGGCTGTTAAAGTGTAAAGATTGAAATGCTAGGATGAATTAGCATTGGGTTAGAGTAACAGATGCATCAGGGAGTAAGGACAATTATTTTAACATGTTCTGCATCAGCTTCTTCCCCATACCACTCCACCCCATACCCCGCCCCCCATCTCAAACTGTCTTGAGAATAATTGTTAGAAAATAGGTACAACAAATGCTCTAACTCTGGAATTTGTAAGATGCTCTTTCTGGCATGTCTTCATTTGCTCCTCACACCAGGAAGGTTTGTTTGTTTTTGCAGTATTGGGGATTGAACCCAGGGCCTTCACACTGAACTACATCCCCAACCCCTTTTTAAAAATTTTTTATTTTGAAACAGAGTCTTATAACTGGCCACTTAAGTTCATATGCTCAGGTTTGTTTGCTTGCCACTGACCAAATAAAAAGAGGCCATTTATTCTGGTGAAAGGGAATAAGGATTTATTCATAGTTGGCTCTGAGGAGATGAGGGATTCATCTGCCTTGAATCACTGTGTCCTGGTGTGTCTAGGGTCTTTTAGAGCAAGGAATATGAGAGAGGAAATACAGTCAAATAATAGGCCTAATCACATTGGTTTCATCTCTTTTAAAACCCAAACTCCTGTGTCCAGCACCTGCATGTCATCTAGGCTGAGTCGAGGGGTGGATGGTCATGCTGGAGGAAGCCATTTGTCTCCAAAGAAAAAAAATAACTTAAAAAAACAAACAAAAACTTTTCAAGTTCCATTTTGCTATCCCAGTTACAGTCTAAGTTGCTGAGACTGGCCTCAAACTGGAACTCCTCCTACCTCAGCCTCCTAGAGTGCTGGGATTACAGATGCACACCACTATAAACAACCACAGCAAGGTTTTGTAAAAAACCAGAATTTCTCAGTTCAGGGTCCTGAGATGAAAGCTGACTGGCTCAGCTGGCATTAGGTGGCCCCACCCCTGTCAGAAGATTGGGATAAGTTTTATGAGGGGGGCATAAGACAGAGCTGCCACCTCTGCCTGCAGCAAGGAATCATCTGAGGACTCACGCTAATTAGTTAGATTGCTCTGCTTCCCTGTGGCTGTGGAGAAATGGCCCATTATCAAAACTTGTTAGCTGAATAGAGATGCAGATGAAAGGGAGCCAGGGCTAGAGGCCTCCTGGATACTGGGAGCAAGGAGGGTTGCAGACTGCTCAGGACCTGAGCTTCAGCTCTGATTTTGCTCCTTTCTGGAATCCACTCAGATTCTTGTCTGCCATTGTGATTCCGCCTTGGGCCTTCTGCAGTTCAGAACACAATTTATTTTACAATGGCTGTGTTTTAAACTGTTTGATGAAATTGAAATAGCCTGGTTTCCTTGGAGGATTCAAAACCCTCTAGAATCTTTTTTATACTTCTAGGTCAATTTCTCTTCTGCCTATGACACTCTTCCAAGATAGGTTGATTCTTCCTGGTCTTGATGAGTGGTGCATCATGCCAAATTCTGGGGCTTTCCTGGCCCCAGAGGGGTGGTATTTCTTGGTGAGAAGTAAGTCGTAAGTGGCTTGAGCTTGACACACATCGTACTTTGAGCAAGCTGAGTGCCTAAATCAGAATCAAAATGCACATCTTTTGAATTTTAATCAAATGCCTTTTTCCTTTGGCCAAAATGAGGTTAATTTTTCTTCTATCCCATGGTTTCTTTTATAGGGGTTCAGCTGTTGCAAAAATAATTGGTAATAATGTCAAGAAACTGCAGAAGTTTGCCTCCACAGTCAAGATGTGGGTCTTTGAAGAAACAGTCAATGGGCGAAAATTGACAGACATCATAAATAATGACCATGAAAATGTAAAATATCTCCCTGGACACAAGCTGCCAGAAAATGTGGTAAGACTCTGGGGTGGATAGTACATTTGCTTCATTCTGCAGGTTATGCTGGGTTGAACAGTACTTGGAGTCTGGTCATGGAGAAGCTATTTCTCCTCCCCAGTTCTTGTCTACAACCAAATACTTGGTAGACTGGTGTTCTTGACTCTGAAAACAGACTGCTTATTAGTTTGCTAGGGCTGCCATAACAGAGTGCCACAGAATGGATGGTTTAAACAGCAGAAATTTATTTTCTTATAGTTCTGTAGACTTCAACAATTCTGGAGGCTTAACATCTGAGATCCAGTTTCTCCTGGGCTTGAAGATGTCCTCTTCTTCCAGTGTCTTCACTTGGTCTTCCTCTGATCCTGTAGCATAGCAGCCTCTTCCTATGAATCATACTGAGTTAGGATGTACCCCCACTGACATCATTTTGAGTTAATTACCTCATTTTTTATTCATACTGGCAGTTGAACTCAAGGCCTTCATACTGAGCTACATGCACAACCCTTTTTATTTTTTATTTTTTGAGACAGGCTGGACTTGAACTTGTGATCTTCCTGCCTCTTAATCATCTCTTTAGATACAATCACATTCTGAGGTACTGGGGTTTAGGATATCAACATATGAGTTTTGGGGCTAGGTAGTATACTCCATAACAGATTTCTTCTTTGGTATTCAAGGTACAGGCCACATCAGAGCTAGAACGAACAAGTTTGCCTTCAGCTGTGTGTGTTCCCCAAGTAGCTCCTTTTCTAAGAGCGTGAAACTTTGATTAGCTCCCTGTGCACTGGACTGTAATTAAAATCAGGGATACAACAGAGATAGAAGACAATGGGAAACTATAAGACTGACAGTTTAAAATTTAAGTTTATTAGGTCTGGGAGAGAAAAATAGGTTATTGATTGTCCTTGATCTACAGATTTGCAGGGGAAAAAAGAAATGAGCATGGAAAATGCCATAGGTGTATGCCCTGCTGCATGTCTGGGTAGAATTTATGAACTTTGTTGCCAGATTCACCTCTTGGGCGCTTTCTGTAATAGTCCATTTGAAAACAAGATAACTATGGCTACCTGATGCCTGTGGGTTATCTGAGAAACTTACCTCCTTTGCTATTAAAACACCTTTTGCTGCATATCGTACCAGGCATTCATAAGCATGTCCTGTGCATGAAAAGCGCAGTGTTGGATGCTGGGAATGGAAAGAGGGAGATGATGACATTGCTTTCCTCAAAGAGTCAAGCTTGGAAACTTGTTTGTAAGCCAACACATGTGGGGAAGTTGGAGTTAACAAGGCCTAGCTTCCTGAAGATTTTTATTTGGTCATTAATGATACAGTCAGTGTTAGTTAGTACCAGGTAGTACATATACTGTCCATTTAATCCCATCAACAACACTCTGAGGTTGATAGTGTTAGTTTTCGTATTGTAATGATGATTATGATTGCAGAGGGGAAAAAACCAGTGGACTTGCTCAAGGTCCTATAGCTAGGGCTGGTGGTGGGATATGCTTCCTGATGGGCTCATTGCTGAACGTGCTGAATCTGTTGGCTTCTAGATAATAACTTTCTCCTCTGTGTCACTGAAAGAGGATGAGCCAGCATTTGCCCCCAAGTGCACCCTAAGGGTGCAGTTGGTGGGGGGAAGGAAGAGTCCCTAGGACTGTGAATTTGGAAGTTGGTTAAGTGTCCGATGGAAATAAAAGGCATTGAGGGTCACTGCTAATCCATCCTTAGGGTAGAAGTTCTTCTGAGCTTTACTTTTTATCATAGTTTTTCCGTCTTTTCTGTAAACCATATACCTTGTGATGTCCTTTTGTGACAGTCCCCTGTGCATCTGCCTGCCTGCCTCCACCCAGCCCACATGTGTGACCCTGATTTTCTAGTTCTTTCCAACTTTCTAGGTACCTATGGTACCTAGCCTGATGCTTTTCCTGCACTTGATACTCAAGCAAAATCAGAGGAAAAGACTCTGCTGAGCAGTTCTGTGAAGCTCAAACTCGTGCTGTCCACAGGGACAGTGAAGGGGAGGAGTCGACCCTGAGGAACCAAGGACCAACATCACCACTGACAGATGGAAGGGAAAAGAGAAAGGAGAGGAAGTCCACTCCCAGGACCCTAGTGATGTCCGAAGCCTTATAGGTTCATGAAAATGAATATATTCATTCTCCAGAATGGACATTTGTGTGATTCCCAACTTTTTGCTGTTATGGACAATGCTCCTGGGAACTACTTGGATGTATCCTAGGAGTGGAATCCCAGGACACAGGAAATGCAGTCTTCTACCCAAACTTCTGCTAACCACCTAAAAGGCTACCTTTTAACCATTTTTATTCATGTGAATTCGAGGAGAAGAGGCATGCATTTCTGTCAATACCGGGTTACCATTTATAATATCTGTCTATTAATGTGCTGACTTGAGATTATGATTCTTTTCTGCTTGGAGCCCCCAAACTGCTGCCTACCTGACTCTTCCCCAGGTTCACCCTTATTGTGTGACCCCTACCCCCACAGGAACTTTCTGTAACAATGACTTTAACACTGTCCTTGACTGTGCACTGAAAACAGGTCTGGTCTGAATTTATGATTTCCCCTTAGACCTGAATGGAAAGAGCATGTGTTACTTACTGTCATTGCAAGATGAAGATTGTTGATCCTATTTTATAGCTCTGCATCATGAGCCTGTGTTTAGAGCTCATCCAGATAGAGGCTCTTCTGCCTTTTTGCTCCAGCTTTAACCAGCCTCACTGTGACAGTAGGATTTATGATCACAGCATCCTCTATGAAATACTGTTGCCATTACCTCTCATCTTTGTCTTCTGAGCTCTGCCATCATTTTAAAAACCCATTTTACTGTGATATAATCCATGGACTAATTGATGCAGTGTTATTTGGTTTTATTTTGTTTTGTTTGTTTGTTTTTTATATATAGCTGTGGGCAACTATCATCAGTCAATTTTCAAACATTTTTATTACCCAAAAAAAAAACCTTTTATTCTTTAGTAGTCACCTTTGATTTTTCCAGTTTGCTCTCCAGCTCCATAGATTTTCTTTTTTTGTTTTTCTCCTGGCACTTGCATTGAACCCATGGCCTCATGCATTCGAGGCAAGTGCTGTACCACTGAGCTACATACCTAGCCTGATTGGCCAGTTCTTGACATTTCATATACAGTAGTTGGTGTCTTAAGCAGTTATTTCTCACTGCTGGGATGAAATATTGGATACGTACAAGTTAAAGGAGGAAAGATTTATTTTAGCTCACAGTTTGTCAAGGTTTCAGTACATAGTTGGCTGGCTCCAAGGCAGAGTGGCATGGCAGAGGGGAGTGGTAGGGGAGAAACAGTCCATAGCATAGCTGGAAGGAAGTGGTAGCCTTCCTTCTGCTTTCTCCTTTATTTCATACAGGCTACAAATTTGTTGGTGCCACTCACACCCAGCATAGATCTTTTGTCTTCAATAAATCCATTCAGCCACACCCAGAACTACACTAATGTAATCAGTGCACTAATCCAGTTATCACATGCCCATAATCCATATTCACACACCCAAGATCCAGCCATCTCAGAAAAGCCCCACCTATGAGCATATGAGGCTTTGGTGGGAGGGCATCTAGATAAAAGACTTAATTGATGGCATCACACAATATGTGGTCTTCTGTGATTGTCTTCTTTCACTTAGCATATTTTCATTCTTGTCCATTTTGTGGCATATGGCTGAATATTATCCTATTGCATCAGCCTTATTCCATTTTCTGTTGCTATAACAATACTGTAGACTGGGTAATTTACAAAGAAACTTATTTCGCTCATGTTTCTGAAGGCTGGGGAGTCCAGGGACATGGGAGCATCATCTGATGAGGGCCTTCATGCTACATCAGAATAAGGCAAAGGTGAGGGGCAAGTAGGGGTGCACTTGCTTTATAGTAAGCCTTTCATAGTAAGTGGTGCACTCTCATGATACCAGCATTAATCCTTTGTGAGGCTCTGCCCCCAGGATCTAGTCACCTACTAGGCCTCACCTCCCAAGACCACTATGTTGGAACTCAGACTTCCAATGAATGCATGCATCCTCTCAACCCTAGCATTGTGAATGTACCACATTTTGTTTGTCCATTAGTGGATGGACATTTGCGTAGTTTCTTCTTTTTCACTATTGTGAACAATGCTGCTACGAACCTTCATGAACAATATTTTGTGAAAATGTATGTTTTCAATTCTTTTGAGTATAAACCTGGGAGTGGAATTTCTGGGCCCTAGAATAACTCTGTTTAACTTTTTGAAGAACAGCCAGACTGTTTTACAAAGTGGCCACATCATTTTACATTTCCATCATAGTGTGAGAGGGTTCCAATTTCTCCATAGCCTCATCTGCACTTGTTATTATCTGCCTTTTTAATCTTCACCATTTAGTGGAGGACATGGTGTTCCATTAGTGGTTTCAGTTTCATTTGCCACTTGGCTAACAACATTATGCATTTTTTCATGTGCTTATTGACCATTTCTGTACCTTTGGAGAAATGTATATTCAGATCCCTTACCCATTTATAAAATTGGATTGCCTTTTTATTATTGTGTTGTAAGAATTTATATATTCAGGCCTCTTTTCAAGTATAATTCATAAGTATTTTCTCCCATCTTATGGGTCATCTTGTCATTTGCTTGATAATGTCCCTTGAAGCACAAAACTTTATTTTTTTATTTTATTGATTGATCAATTGTGGTACTGGAGATTACCCAGGGCCTTAACATTGAATTATGCCTCCAACTATTCTTTATCTTTTTTTTTTCTCTTTTGAAAAATGTTTTTTCTTTATTCATTCTTGATCAGGCTCACCAGTACATGTGTTATTGGCAAGTACTATGAATCCAGCAAATTCCTACAGTTTTGGTATTGGTGCCTTCCTGCAGTTTGAAAGAAAAACATTTATAATTTCAAAATTACCATTTGATGAAATTCTTAGTTTTAACACTTGCCCTCATCACATGCTGCTTTAATACTGCTTTACTAAAGTCATCCACTTCCCT